ATGTGTGCACGTGGAGGCTGCACATGTGCATGTGTGCACGTGGAGGCTGCACATGTGCATGTGTGCACGTGGAGGCTGCACATGTGCATGTGTGCACGTGGAGGCTGCACAGGTGCATGTGTGCACGTGGAGGCTGCACAGGTGTATGTGTGCACGTGGAGGCTGCACAGGTGCATGTGTGCACGTGGAGGCTGCACATGTGCATGTGTGCACGTGGAGGCTGCACATGTGCATGTGTGCACGTGGAGGCTGCACAGGTGTATGTGTGCACGTGGAGGCTGCACATGTGCATGTGTGCACGTGGAGGCTGCACAGGTGCATGTGTGCACGTGGAGGCTGCACAGGTGCATGTGTGCACGTGGAGGCTGCACAGGTGCATGTGTGCATGTGGAGGGTGATTCTGCTAGATTCTCAGACTAATAAGCCTGTCTCTGTCCCCCCCAGCCATGGTACAGATGTGTGCCATGCCCAGATTCATGTTTGTTTTAAAGAAACAGCTGTTTCCTTTGTGTATAACAGCATCTTCTGAAGGGTGAATTTCCAAGGCAGGTTTCCCCACAGCTGTCTTGAGAGGAGGAACCATGTGGTGGTGGTGGCTTAGGGTGGACAGGAGAAGGGCCTCTGGTATGATCTGAGCTCTGAACTATTTGAATGGATACACTGTGGTCAAAAATATATTCACTTTTTTTTCTTTCTGCCATGTCAGGTTTTTTGATGCAGTGCTGGGGATAGAACCCAGAGCCTCCTGCATGCTAGGGGCTGGGAAGCCACATAGAGGAAGCCATGGGAAGAAATCTGGACAGTTGCAGAAATCTGGACCAGGAAAGAGAGTGTCAATCACCCATATCAGAACCCCCACATGCTGCCCAGGGCACCACGAGGCTCTGCTTCTGACCCTTCCTTTCTGTGTGCTTCCCAGGCTCATCCCTTCCTAGCTCGCCCTTGTCCATGAGAAGTGGTGTGGCACTCTGACCTCTGGGACATGACTGTCCCTAAGGAGCACCTCTTTTATCTCTGGCAGGTTGAGCTGCCACCTTTTCATAGTTCTGAAACAAATTGCTAATTTCTCTTTCTCTAATGCATTTGATGGTCACTTCAAATAAAATTCTTCAAAGAGATTGCAAAAGAAGAAAGAAGCAGAGGAAAGAAAAGAAACAGGGCATTAACTACAGACTCCTGATGGGTTACGCTTCCCTGAGCACTCTTCCTGCGATCTTCTCCTGCTCTAAATTACCAATTCTAGTCCCTGTGTAGCTAAATAATAATAATTACCATATAAATGAATATGCATATGTGTCATTTTTCTCCTGAAAAGCAAGAGAGCCTGCTTGTTTTGGGTGAGGGTTTGCTTTGCTTTTGAACAACCAAAGCTCATAATTAGAAGCCTCGCCTTGCCCTGGAAATCTGTCTCCGTCGGGAAGAGATGAAAAACGGCTCCAGATGCCCCTTGAAGGTTAAAAGAAATCTTAAAACAAATTGAAGGAAGTGGTTCTTTCCCCTCCAGGTAACAATGGCTGGGGCATAACCACAGCTACAGACATGTAGGTCAGAGAGGCACCTCTGTCTTCAAGGCCATTGCCATTGTTGGACAGGTGGGAAAGTGGGAGGCATGAAAAATGGATGACATGATGGCCAAGTCTCCAGGAGACATCTCATCCAAGACAGGAGGCCCCTCCTCAGTACAACACTGATGTCAAACTCAGGCCTCCACACACATAGGCATAATCACTTGCACGTGCGTGTGCACACACACACACACACACATACAGAGAGAGGGGGGAAGAGGGAGAGGGAGAGGGAGAGGGAGAGGGAGAGGGAGAG